TCAATGTTTGTCCATAATTTTAAAAGGCTTGATTTTGATTTTGTTGTCCAATCACTAGTTCGACCACATGAGGGAGGTAATTCTACAACATACACTGGTAATCTGAATAGAATATGGTGTGATTGTGGTCGATTTCAAGCTGTTAGATTCTCATGCGCTCACGATGTTGTTGCATGTATGCACATCAATGTTGACCTATACTTATATGCTGATGATTGTTATAGCTTGCACACTATGCGCAACATTTACAGTTATGACTTCAAATACCTCCCAAATGAAGCATACTGGCCTACATGCACAATTTATGAGGGATGGTTGTCAAATCCTCAATTGCATAGGAAGTTACACGGTCGACCTGAATATAGTCGAATTAATACCGATATGGATGATCCTCAAAGAGAGCCAGGTCAACCCAAACTTTATGGCCATTGCATAGGTGAAGGTCATATCAGAAAACATTGTCCACATCTTCCAAAATATTGAGTTGGACGCTAAAATAGGTGTACAAAATATTATGTATTGTAAAACCCCTAGTTCCCAACTATTAGTAAAATTTGTTCTTTCTTTTTCAAGGATCAAGAGTAACCTTTGGGAAACCCCTAGTTATTCAATGATTATTGGTACGACCATTGTAATTTTTAAATAAATCTAGTCGTTTAAGACCGTTGGGATGGACAGTATCAGTACTCCTCTTTATGGTATCAAGACTACTGTGTAAAGTAGTATCGATACCCCCATGAGTATCGGTACCTATTTTGCATTCTGGAATTTGACCCGTTTGGAAAATACTGGTAGTATTGATACTACCAACTGAGTATCGATACTTCTTTTACGTTTGGTATCGGTACCAAATGAACAGTATCGATATTGTTTTTAATTGAAAATGGAGAAGACAAATTACATTTTAAATTTTAAATTTAAAACTTCATTAAAGTTTTTTAATTGAGAATTTACTCAAAATTAATCATTTTGATAACTATAACATCTCATTTTAATGATAAATAAAATTTTGAATTTTAATGAGAAAATAATTAATTAATAAAGACACGTCATACATAAACTATAACCATACAAATGAATATTTGAACATATGTCATTTTTTTAACTTTTATACATCTCTCTATAATTCGATCTTCCTCTGTCTTCTTCTTCTCAATTTCTATGTTTCTTTTTTTATTTGTTCTTCCCTCTCAACTAGTCGTTTCTACGTTGTTTCGGTAAATCTTCGTACTTCCTCTTCTTCTCTTTTTTTCATTTTCATTTTCATTTCCATTTTATTCTTCTTATGCTCCTCAACTATGTACTTTATTGCCTCCTTTTCTCACTCTTCATCTAAAGAATAGCTTAAATTCGAATCGTCGCTCTCCGAGTCGGTGTTGTGAAACCCATAAAATTTTATATTTTATGTATGATCTATTCTATGTTAAGCTCATTTTTTCGTTTATAAATTTCTAACCTTAGTTATTATCATGTGCATTGGATTGACCACTCCCAATTTGCTAATGAAATGCGTTTTAAATGTTTTCCACCATAAAATTTTTGGAATTGATGGGATTTGATATATGCATTAAAAAGTCATTGCATAATGTATGGGATTGATGGGAATTGATACATGCATTAAGAATCCATTGTAAGAATTTATAGGATTGATTAGAATTAATACATGTATTAGGATTCTACTGCAAAATTTTATTTTCAATGCAAATCCTTTTTAATCTTCTTTCAGTTTTTTCTTTATTTGTCTGGTTCCCAAAAATTTTCTGCATATATGAATCTTATTTATAAGGCTTATTATAAAATAATTCTTAAAATTATGAATAAAAAATATTTGAGTGCCTAAAGAATATTTCGTTAAAAATAAGTGTCTAACATTTTCTATGTTATACTTTTAGGTGTTTGGACGTTAACCATCATTAAAAAATTTTGTTGAGTGACACGTGCCATGTTCTGGTAATTTGATAATTTATTTAAAAATTTAAAAAATTATTAAAAAATAAATATATAAAAAAAATCCCCTCATCCCTCTTCTCCCTTCTCCCTTCTCCCTTCTCCCTTCTCCCTTCTCCCTTCTCCCTTCCCCCTTCCCCTTCCCGATCCCACCGTCACCACATGCTCATCGTGTACACCGCCACTACCAACAGCTTCACTAGCACCTTGTGACCCCAACCACGAGCAACAATCACCCAAATCGACTGTCGATCGTCACAAAACAATAAGAAATCGTTCGTTTCCTCTCACCGTCTTCTCTGGAAAACTGTAACTATCACCGCTTCCACGTGTGAGAGCGTCGTCTCACGCCGAGAAAAACCCAACTATCCCCTTGTCAAGTAGCGCCACCATTTTCCATGGAAGAAGCTTCGAAGCTTCAGTGAAAACCCAACTAAGGTTTTTTTGTAATTTGAAAAAACTAGGGGTTCTTTTTATAAATTAATTAATTTTTTTAATTTTTTCTTTTAATAAATAATATTTTTATTTATAAAAAATTAAAAAAATTAAAAAAATATATATAATGATAGACACCTAAAAATATAACGGAAAAAACATTAAATACCTAATTTTAAATAAAAGCTCTTTAAGTGCTAAAACGTTTTTCGAAACATAATTTAAGTATTTATTTTTGTATTAAGCCTATTTTTATTTGCTAGAGCGATTGTTTTATTTTTTAAAATCTCGTACATTGACTCAAACGTATCTTACCTTTAAATAAAAAATTAAGAAAAAAAAAAGAATTTGCTCATTGAATTATGTTGTAAGATAAAAATATATCTCGTTAAGCGAAAACGTAATTAATAGGAGATCATCTTAATCCTTTAAAGAAAGAAAGGAGGTCTAGAATTCATGACCAAAAGAGAATACTCCTAATAAATCTATTTCAAATTTATTTGCTCAATTATCCACAACTTAGCTTGTAATGAAAAATAGTAATTTCTATATAGTAAATAGAAATCGAAAAGTTAAGAGACAAGTTGGTTTTGCAGGAGGAAGTATGCATTGCTATATATGAGTGATGGAGATAGCACCAACGTAGAAAAAAAACTTCCTTTTACCTATAAAGCAACAAGATTTTTGGCATCATCTTCGCCGAGACGTGACGAAGACACGTCCCTAGTTGCACCGCTATTCACATACCTGCAATCACAAATAATTCTATTCAGACGTTTCACAATTTCATGAAGTTTCAAATCATAATAATATCACCTCTGATTTTTTTCTTTTATTTTTAAATTTTTTTTCTAAATATTGTATTTAAAGTGTATTAATAATTTTTTTAATATGGTGAGTGATTACAATGTGATATTTGTTCAACATTTATTTAATTAATAAATAACACACTCTGTATACATAATTATTTGAATTAATGATCTCTAAGAAAACCGTCTTCTCTTTTATTATTCATATTGCTTGATGGGTTGATATAAATTGATTTTAGTATAAGGATAGACATGCAAATCTCAATCAATATAATTATATATATGGGAAATAATGTGGCAAATCCCAGCATTAATTTTAGCATGTTAAAATTTGTATATAACAAGGTTTTGCGATCTTGTGGTGGATTTTAAAGTTAAGATTTTGTCTTTTGTATCATCAAAGTGTTTATGCATTGCTCAGTTTGAGTTTGGAGTTTTTCTCTCGTATTGTATTTGGGGTGTGAGAAATAGCTCATATGCACCCAAATTATGAACCTAAGCTCTCTTCAATTCACACTCCATGCATAATACAAGAGATAAAATTCTGACTCTAAAATCACACATAGACGCTTTAAAAATATAATATCGATCTTACTGAAGAATTCATTATCAACTATCTAATGAACCACAATTCACATATTTCTTCAGACGAAATCATAAACCCCACTGACCCTATTTTCAGTTAATTAGAAAAGCAAATGTTGCCAAACATCCTCATTTCCGAATTCACCAAAATGTCGTATATGAACCTGGATCGAGGGAAACAAACAACATTGAATCAGTATACTTTATGCAAAAAATAATAATAATATTAGAAATAAAAACCGAAGGGGTCAAATTGCAAAAGCATATGCAAGATGAAATGAGTAACATTGCAGGGAAATAGTCATAAGTTAAGTCCTTTGTCCCTGTGGGTTATGGGGAACTGGTCTAATTTGTCTTTACTAGTGGCATCACGAGGGCACTGGCAATCATATTACATCACATTTACACCATCCTGTTTTGTACCGGAAGGGAAAGGTAGCTATCAATCGCTAAACTCTATGAAACAAAAGAAAATTCCAATTTAAACTAAAAAAAATGATGAATTATTGCTGGGTTTGTCTTAATGGAATTCAATGAGCAAAAAATGGACAAAAAGGATGGCCGGCTGAGACACCTCCCTTAACTTATTCTTCACCCTCTTTTATACATAAAACCACTGCAATTAGTAGACGAGGGCAAGTGAAGACTCCAGAGTGGAGAATAACTCGTTAGCAACGTTGCAATTGCCAAATTTACCTTATGAATGATTTGTCAACATTAAAGCTATAACTTAAAAAACGAATTTCTACAACTCATTGATTTGAGTCAATAATAAAAGAGAACGAACGACGTTTTTCTTTGAAGATTTGAGTCTTATATCTACATGGTGTTTGTTGTCAATACTATCTTGTAAACAGATAACTTAATGGGTTCATTTAAACATGATTGAATAACCTCTAGTTTACTTTATTCTTAAATATTTTGGCTGCATGTATGGGTTCATGGATAAATCGTTCTGTACAGTACGGATTCACAGCTTCTTGAGAGTATGTATGTGTACACTTAGAAATCTAAATTTTCTGTTAGTTATCTATTTTATTGATAATCTTTATTCAAAAATTTTATTTATGTCTAATATTATTAACATACGTGTATTTATCCTCAAAAATATTTTTAGATTCGTTACTAACTTCGTGCATCGATCCTTCCCTATATATAGGCTTCAAGCTAACCTAAGTCTTTCTGTCTTCCTATTTCTCTCAACACATTTAAAACACAGGAAATTTGTGTAGAGTTCTCTTCCCAAGTTCAAAACCTCATAGTAACCAGGAAAATCCCCAGCTCTTCAATTCCCATATACAAATACCAGCCAAACAATTGTCAAACAAACAAAAGAGTCATCAATATCTTCCATGCGCGTTGGTTCAAGTTCAACAAAACCCTAATTAATTACCCCCTCTTTTTTTAGCTTTATTTAATTTTTGTTTAGTTTTCAACAAAACGAATGAAAAGTGAGGTAAGAGGAAGCGGTGCATCCATTTCCCTTCAAAACCCTAGCCTTTTGAACACGCCACATGATTCTATAACCGGAGCACTCAAAGGATGCCTTGGTAGTCTTGACGGGGCATGCATAGAGAAGCTTCTTCTTCACTGCGCTATTGCTCTTGAAAACAACGATGTGACCTTGGCCCAGCAAGTCATGTGGGTGCTCAACAACGTCGCTTCCTCCGTCGGCGACACAAACCAGAGGCTCACCTCATGGTTCTTAAGGGCACTCATCTCTAGAGCGTCTAGGGTTTTCCCCGCGGCCATGAATTTCAACGGCGGAAGCATGTTTCAGAGGAGGCTGATGACTGTCATCGAGCTAGCCAGGTACGTCGATTTAATCCCTTGGCATCGTTACGGGTTCTGTGTGTCGAACAGTGCCATTTTTAAGGCCGTCCAAGGATGCACGAAAGTTCATATATTAGATTTTACCATCACTCATGGTATGCAGTGGCCTACTCTAATAGACGCACTAGCTAAGAGACCCGAAGGGCCTCCTTCGCTTCGAATCACGGTGCCATCTTGCAGGCCACAAGTTCCTCCTTTGCTCAACGTGTCGCAAGAGGAAGTCGGACACCGACTGGTGAATTTCGCCAAGTTCAGGGACGTGCCTTTTGAATTCCATGTCAAGGATGACCCTTGTGTGTGCAATGAATCACTGTTGACTCAGTTGACTCGTTACGAGCTAGACCTTAGGGAGGAGGACGAAGCTTTGGTCATAAACTGTCAAAACTGGCTACGCTATTTGTCCGATGAGACAAAAGGGCATGGTTTTTCGCTGCGAGATGCTTTCCTCGACATAATTAAAGGCCTCAATCCTCGTATTACAGTTGTGGTCGATGAGGATTGTGATTTAAGCGCACCGAGCCTCAGTTCGAGGATCACAACATGCTTCAATTATCTTTGGATACCCTTTGACGCATTGGAGACATTCTTGCCCAAAGATAGTTCCCAAAGGCATGAATACGAATCTGATATGGGTCACAAAATCGATAACATCATCGGTTTAGAAGGGTTTCGAGGGATAGAGAGGCTAGAATCCGGAGCAAAATTGTCACAAAGGATGCAAAATGCCGGTTTCTTCAGCCTTGCATTTTGTGAAGACACCATTAATGAAGTTAAATCCCTTTTAGATGAACATGCTAGTGGATGGGGCATGAAGAGAGAAGAAGATATGCTGGTTCTCACATGGAAAGGTCACAACTCAGTGTTCACCACGGCCTGGGCCTCGACCGAGTTGGAGGATTGAAACGGGTGTGAACATAAGACAAAGAAAAACATCAGTGGTCCGGTTGAAACAGCAGAGACAAAACAGGGAGCTGCTTCTCTCATTGTCGAAAGGCTGTAAATGGGCATAAGACAAAAAAAAACGCAGAATTTTGTGGATAAAATCATGTTTCATACCATTAACCTATTCCATCTTCTTTATAAATTAGGCGACTTTAGATAGCTTTTGTTTTTGGTTCAGTAAAAAGCAAGGAGAGAAATGTACAAAAATGAAATATAATTTGCATTTGTATGCGGCTAAAACCCGATGCGCTGATTGTTTTCAGGGTAGCAGCACCCAACAGCCAGTTTTTAATTATTATCTTATATCTATCTAAATTATTGAAGTTCTAATTGAGCTAATAATATCGTAGTTTAACAAAAATAATTAGTAGATTTTATATAATTTTAATTAATGTTATAGTTTTGTGACAATAATTAATAATTAGTAGATTTTATATAATTCTATTTAACGTTATAGTTTTGTGGCAATAATTACTAATTAGTAGATTTTATATAATTTTAATTAGTGTTATAGTTTTGTGACAATAATTAATAGTTAGTAGATTTTATATAATTTTAATTAATATTATAGTTTTGTGACAATAATAAGTAATTAGTATATTTTATATAATTCGAATTAATGTTATATTTTAAGTATGATAACCCATGTACTTAGTTCACATGGACAATGTATGATAGTGAGATTTTCATGTTATTGAGATGTTACAAAAATCATGTCATGCTACAAAAATTGAGTCATAACCATATCTTATGATTATCCATGTTTATCTATTATTCATGAATGCAAGTTACAAGAGTTTAATTGCCTAAATAATTTAGATAAAGTTTATATGATACAATGACATATTTAGGATCGAGCAACTATGTCTTTTGATTTTTGGGTTCGTTTATCCTACGTGATTAATTTTATTGATGTGGTCTAGAACTTTGGTGCTTTAGAACCTTTGAGTTCGTTCATCTTGTGTGAGTGTTCTTGATATTGAGTTAACAATACAATGCATTGGACCTGCGGGTTCATCTACCCTTACGTGATTGGATGCGGATCTAATGAGGAGTATTGTTGTGTAACCTCTAGCGTATACGTTATGACTGGATTTAGCGAATTACAATAAAAAAAAATTCAAAACATTTTCAAATTGTAATTAAAATTATAAAGTCAAATTGATCAATTTAAAACATAAATTATCATGGGTAAATTAAAATACCCAATAACCAATGAATAAATAATTCATACATCAGTAGTAATATAAAGTATGTCATAAAACCATTATATCAAAATATAGACACATGTCACCAATCATAAAGGCAATTTGGAAAATAAAAATATTACAACAAAATATATTATACGAAATGTGTCGATCCTCCAAATGTCAGGTCAGAGGCGCCTACACAACAATATCATAAAAGTGAAAAGTTTGGGGAGTGTGATAGGGAGCACAATGTGTTCCAATAAGTAAAGAATAAAACATACAGGTAAATTTCAAAACTGATTTCAGAATCATAGTGTAAAGTGACAATATATTTTTTATTTAAAACATAGAGTTGCCCTATAACCATTCACCATATGCAATTTCGCATAACTGTATCCAAAAGGACTAATCCTAGGTTCATTGGACCTAGGAGCCAACCAAAGGAGCACCTTGGGTTCATAAGGACTTATCCTAACTGAAGCGTAAGAACCACCTAAGGGGTGTGCCTCAAGTCCATGAGGACTTACCCTAAGGAAGTGTCATCCTAAGGGAGTGCCTTAGGATCCATAAGCTCTTACCCTGATGTAATCCATTTCAACCCACAAGATTCATACCCACTGTTGCCTATAATACCTTTAACGTTGACCTACATCAAGATGGAGCAAAGGGGAGTAACCACAGTCTCACTTGTGTTTTTTAAGCTATTATCAGTGTTCTTGGTTAAGCATGTAACTCATGTTATGTCTTCCATCTTTCATGATCATGTTCATTTATGCATATTTCACCATAAGTTATAATACTATGTTTCAAACCATTATAACTACTATTATAATCTATGATCATATCTTTATTTTAGCATTTAAGTTATCTTATGTTTTATTTTATCTTAAGCCATGCATATTTATTTATGTTTCATTTCAAACCATGATAATATTTATTTATGTTTCATATCCATCCTAAACTTGCATATTTACTTATATGTTTATTTTTTGTTTTGTAAGAGCATTTATTCCTAAGCTCTGCATACTTACGATTTTTGTTTGTTTTGTAGGTACATTTAAGGTGCACAATGTGAACGCATTAGGACAGTGTACATCAGTCAGATTACGAGCCATTTTTGAGATATTCCAAGCATATTTGGGCTATGATATCTATTTATTTTAAATCTCACATCTATTATCTTTTCAACGCACTTTCAATCGCATCAATCCGACATCGGGAGCTCGAGATATGGCTGGAATACTAAACACAACGTAGGCTTTAATTTTATATGGTATTTTCACCCATTCCGAGCCTCCACCTATTTATACTCTTCCAAGAATCATATGAAGAGTCATGGTTCAATTCCACCCTTCATGAAATAATAAGTGACGTGAACGTTCATCAAAGGGAGCCAAACCACCCATTTATGCATGACTTTCCAAGCCACTAAAGGGAGCTAAATCATCACCCAAAGAAGATGGATAGGCATGAGCATTGAACCTACCAAGGGGGAGTATTCGACCATAATTAAACCAAGCATAAATGTATAAACAATTCTTCAACTTCATGGCTTAGTGGACTTCATAAATGAGTGCAAGAAGATCATATCATTAAATGACTTGATTTTTCTCCCTAAGCATGTAGCCTAGCAAATCATTTGCCATTTGTAAGCAATCAATTATCTTATCAATCAAATACTTTGTTATTTTATCTCTCTTTCAATTTATTTGAGAAATATATCGATTGAGCAAGCTTTCAAACTTGTGAAATTATTCTATCCACCTTGATAATTCTAGTTCCTATCTCTTAATAGATAGTGGTTCAAAGTCCTTGTTACCATCCCTCAAACAAGTTTGTAGAGAACGCGGTTATGCTCTTATAACATAGTTTCTTCTTTGGAGAATTTGAGATACTATCTTCATCAATTCCATCTCCCATCCTCAACAACTATCCATCTACCATTTTTAACATTGAAGACTTATCAAAATCATCATCACCAACGTCCAACTATCATAATCTTCTGCATCAATACTTTGATCACTTATCTTTCATTTCCATTACCCTTAAACTATCTTATATAAACTTTCTAATCCATCTTATTTGTCTTGTTGTAGTTATACTTCAATTCTGGGGTTATACTTGCGTCTTTCCTAGATCGGGCAAACAACAAGGTTGTCTATCTTTCTTCAACATTAGAGGAGTCTAGTTAGTCTTACATCAAGTGGTATAAGAGCTATTGATGGATTGACAACAAGTCCTATTGAAGTTGCAACATCATAAAATAAGTACAAAAGAAAAGAAAGCAAAAAAAAGAGGCTCGTACAACATTTAGAGGAGTTCAAAAGAAAGAAAAAGAAAATCACAATAAGAGGAAAAGTGTAAAAGTGCAAATAACAACCTTAAAGATACTCTTACCATCAAAAACTAAACTTAAAGAGATAACCTTGTTGTTTTCTCGTAATAGGAGGTTAGTAAGTGTTATATTTGGATTGTAAGTCTCCAAATTCTTTCTTTACTTTTTTTTAATTCTTTCTTCTTTTAACCATTTCTTCTTCTTACCTTAACCAATATTTCAGTTAGCACACACAAGGTTGAAGACTTGTTTGAACTTGAGTTAGTTATGGAAGGACTCAACAAGAGGGATCAAGAGGAAAAAGGAAAAAGGAGTGAGTGAGAACATAAATGGAACTGTTAAAAGCCAAAAATCATATTCCTGAGTGCAAACACCAGCATTGAGTAGAATGAAACCAAAGTTTGTTTGGAGTATTTGTGAGGTTTTGTTGAGCGTACTGGTAAGGTTTTATTTTTTTATATTTATTTTACTGACAATGTCTCAATGTCCTATGAACAATGAGGGAAGAACAAATCTACAACTGTAAGCATTGATAGGCGGAATAATGTGAATGTTCTGAGAAGAGTTTGACGCTTTACATAAGATAATGAATCAACAAGAAGGAACTCAACAATGACGTAACAATGTTGACCACAGAGGGAAACAACCACTTTATTAAGAAAACAATGCACCAGAAACCCAAGAGGATGATGAGGAGATAGAGCGAGCATCCTTACAAGGCTCAAAGCGATCAATTCCTGCAATTGATAATAACTTGAACAATATCCGCATCAGCATTCCATATTTCCAAGGGAAGACCGACCTGGAAGTATATCTTGAATGGGAAAGTAAAGTGTAGCATGCTTTTAGTTTCCATAACTACTCAAAAATAAAGAAAGTTAGAATGGAAACCATGAAGTTCACTGAATATGCATTGATATGGTGAGACCAAATTATTAGTAACCGAATGAGGAATGGAAAAAGTCCTATATCTACTTGGCACGAGATAAAAGGTATAATGAGGTTATGTTTTATTCATGTTCATTATCATCGAGATCATTTTCATATTGCAGAATCTTAAGCAATGATCCTGAAGCATGGACGATTACTATAAGAAAATGGAGGTTGCAATGATTCAAGCCAATGTAGAAGAGGACCGCGAAGCAATAATGGAAAGATTTCTTTTAGGACTCAACCCAGAGATAAACAATACTTTGGAGTTATACCATTACATTGAAACTGATGAGATAGTCTAAATGGCTATGAAGATTGAGCGGCAACTCAAGAGGAGACACATGAATCGCAATCCTACCACCTCAAGATGGAACAAAAAAATGTGAGGAAACCAATCCCTGCACCTATCAATGAAACAACAGAGTCATCTCAAACCAAACCGCATAATGTTGAGAAGAACAAAGGAAAGCAAATGAATGAATGTTCCAGATACATCTGATGTATCAAATGTCTTGTGAGAGGACATGTAACAACCCAATGTCCTAACTGAAATACAATGTTGCTTCTTAGAAATGGCGACATAGAGTCTAAATGTGAAGTAGTAGAAGAAAATGATGAAACTAATGAAAAAATAGAAGAGAAAGTCACAGCTGCAGTCGACAGGAAGCTTTAGTAATCAAAAGAATCATGAACATTCAGTTAGTTAGAGAATATGAAACACAAAGGGAAAACATTTTCCACACCCGTTGCAATGTGAATAACAATGTCTGTTTCATG